GGCGCTGCTGGTGCTGCCGGCCCTGCCCCGCCGCGCCGCCGCCGGCTGTGCCGCCCGCCGCCTCTGCTGCCCCGGCCGCAGCCCGGCCTGTCTCAGCACCGGCTGGCGGCCCGACGGCTCCCACGGGCCCTGCTACTGCGACCAGGCGTGTGCCCGCACCCTCGACTGCTGCCACGACTACGCCGAGGCTTGCCCAGGTGAGTGGCCGGCGGGGCTGCTCCCGGGGACCGGCTGGCCCCCGCTGCCTCCCGAGCTGAGCGGCACCTGCCCGCCCTCCGGGATTAAAAAGCACCGCCGGGGGCTGCTTTGCTCCTGGGAAGAGGATGGGGGTGCGAGTGGCAGAAGGAGGGATGCTGCAGGCACTTGGCTCCTCACCTCGGTTGTGTTTCGTGGAGATGCTGGGGTCTCACCAGAGCAGAGAGCTGGCAGGGCATGCCAGGGTGCTGCGTGTTTGTACAGGACAGAAATGTGAAATGGGACGTTTCCTGACTGAGTCAGAATCTCCCGATCCCTTTCCCTCTTGTGGGGTGAAATACTGTGGATGGGATCAAATCTGCTGCTCTTTTAGCCCCCGCTTCCCACAAAAGACACTGACAGCTCCAGTGTGTGGCTGCAGCTCTGGCAGCTGATCTGGTGAGACCCTGGACCACAGTGTCTGTGCCACCCAGTGCTGGGGTCCCTGGCAGCGCTGCCTTCCCGGGGGGCACAGCAGCACTCCATCCATCCATCCATAAATGTCTTCCCCTAAAGGGCAGATATGTATTAAGGAGATGTTATTTTATTGAGTGGTGCAATCTCATATTCACTTCCCACAAACAACATCCTCAAGGAGACTTACCCGCTCACATAATGCCTTTTCTTTTTTTTCTTCCTTAAATCTGCATAGCTGTGCCTTAGCAGAGTTTTGCTTTAGGCAGATGGGCAGGTATTCCTCTGACTTAATTGCCTTTTTCCTTTCAAGAGTGAGCTGGAAAATGGGTGGGAAATAAGTTCATTCCAAAGTGATTCAAGCAAGGTTCATTCCAAAGTGATTCAAGCAAGCTATGTCTGTGAAGGAGGAGAGGCTGGCTGCCTCATCTCTGCCCTGGGGGAGGGCACCCCGGCTTTGCAGGGGTTGCGGGTCCTGGTGCCAGGGCTGCCAGGGGAGGGATGTGTTGGTGCTGGGTGCCCCAGTGCCTTTGGTGCCTGAGCACGGCTGGGCTGTTGGAGGCTCCTTCAGCATCTCACCGTGTCTCAATCCTGCTGCTCTGGGCGGTTGTCAGGGATATAGCTGGGGTAGACAGGAACCCCTCATGTCTGTTCTTCACAGTACAGAAGAATAATAAGAAAACTGTGTTGGGGGCCTTGTTGAGCATCATGAGGGGGTGGCAGAGGGCAGGCGCTGGTCCCTCGCTGTGCTGGGCACCTTGCTGCCAGCGCTCTCCCAGCCCGGCGCCATCCTGTGGCTGCTGGAGGAATAACAGCACCCTGCTTACAGAAATCTGGAGAGAAAGCTGGGTTTGTGCAGGATGAGGTATTTCTGCATGATTTCTGATGGTTCCTTTGTGCTCAATCTAAGAGATGCAGTTCTACTTTCACTTCATAGCCTGGCCTTTTGGCAGTTGTTTTCTTTCTCCCACCATGAAAGGGTTACTTTATCAACCTGACTTGTAAAGCAAAATATTAAGGCAAAGGCATTCATATCTGACACCAAACAAAGCTGAAGAAAGCAGAATATTCTGAATAAATCAGATGCACCAAAGGATTATAATTCTGGGTGGCCTACAATCCAATGCACAGGGTTTTGGTTTTTTTTTTTTTTTGGTTGTTTTTTTGTTTGTTTGCTTGTTTGTTTGGTTTTTTTTTGGTGCTGCATTACTGCATATATGAAAAGGCTCAATTACTTAAAGAATTGATTTAATTCCTAACCTTTGAATAGGTTTAAAAAGCTGTTTGTGGTGGTGACTTTAGACTAAGAAGAATAACATTTTGAAAGATCTTCCTAGAGTTTCTGAAGACAAGGGCAGTTTCAAATGAGGCTAATGCAGTAATTAGGGGTTATCTGTGTTTGTGGGAGAATAAAGTGAAGTATCAAGCTTGAGCTGCACAGAAAGGCTGGAATTCGCAACAGCATTTGTAGCTTATGTCCCAATAGAATCAGTGGGACTCAGGCTTTTGAATGCCTTTGTAAATTGGAGTGCAAATGTCTGAGCATAGTGGCTCTTAATGGATTTGAATGAGTTCATCGGCCTCTATAAATTGAGGGATAGATTAGTACTGGAGCTGGACTCCAAACTGAGGAATTCCTTGTGCCTGATCTCAGTGTTATGGGCCAAATGTTTCTGTCCTTGGGTTGTTTGCCTCTTGAGTACTCACAGGGACTTTGGGAGACGGTAGCTTGCAAATGTAATCCTTCTCTTAGTACATGGAAGGTGGTGCCTGCTGGCCTGTAGCTGGTCACTGGGTGCGAGGCACCCAGTGGCTGAAAAAGCAAGGCAGGAAACCTGGTAAGACATGTATTCACTGGTAGGACTGAAGTTTGATGTTGTTAGGAGCTCTGCTGTGGTGCATTTGTCACACAGTAGTCCAGCTCAGTCACAAGATACAGAAATCCAAGCAGAGGGATTGTAGCTAACTGAGAATATGTGGGGAAAAAATAATATATGGGTCTAGGCTGACCTGCAAGTGTTTTTGTCCAGAAGTATTGCTCTTGATGGTTAGGTTGTGTTGGTTAAGGACAACTGATCAAGTATATCATCCTCTTCCTCCAGTTATCCCCTGTGTCGTGTCTGAGTGGAGTGTCTGGAGTGGCTGTGCAGAGCCGTGCAAGACAACGTACCGTGTTCGGAGGAGGCACATCATCCAGGAGCCCAGGAATGGAGGAGAGGCATGTCCTCCTCTGGAGGAGAGGGCTGGCTGTGTGGAGTACTGGACTCAGCAAGGAACAGAGTGCAAACAGTCCCTGAGTAAGTCCACTGAAAATGTAAGTGTCTGGGTAATTGGGGGGAGGACTCTTGTTTGGGTCAGCAGAGCCAATCTTTCTGTACAGTATTTGGAGAGAGTTGTTTTCAGACACCAGCATGTTTGCTCTGGGCCTGGCTGGTGTAACTCAGAACTGAGCTCTTCACACAGAGGCTTAGAGATATCTTTCCCTGGACAGTATTTGCTGTGATCTGTTGTGTTTCAAAAGTGAAGTATTACAGGCTTGTTGTGATCTCACTTATACAAGTGTAAATCTCCAGCAATTTTGATAGAGTTAGTAGATTTATGCGTGTTTAAAATTTCTGTAAGAGGGTGTTGAGCACTTTTTTTCTTTGTAAATATTTTTTTTTTATTTCTTTAATGAAGTCATGAAGGTGCAATGCCCATTGTAGGCAAGGTATGACTTCTCTGCACTGGAGCAGAGTGCAGGCAGAGGAGACCTCCAACTAATTTCTGGAGAAAAAGCCTGATTTCATTTTGTTCAAATCAACTTTTCATGACATACCTTTACTGATTTTTTTAAGAGAACTGCTTGTCATTTTTGTTGCTATTTTGGGGTCAAAATCTCTTTGGTCTGGATGTTGGCTACAACTGACTTCTTCAAACCTGCTGAGAGTTGGTATTAAGTGAATATTGCTTCCCCGCTTTGTCCTTTGGGTGTGCCTGATCAGTAGACTTACTCTATGCAGGCAAAAATTTAGCCACAATACAGATTCTCTTTTCAGTGAAATTATTGATGGTCTTGGATAATGTGAAAATGCAAAGTTAGAATTGTTTTTGTCTCCTGCTGAGGATAAAACTGTATGATATTTAAGTCCCATCTTTACTGTTTTGCAGAAGTAAAAAGCCTTACTGCAGTATTGCCACTTATGCTATGTACTCTTTCTCTTTGATACACACAGTCCCAGCGTTAATTACAACAGGAGGGTTTGGAAAAGCCAGGAAAAAAAGAGCAGCAGCTGATGGCAATGAAAGAGCAGGGTAAGTTGGAGGCTCAGCATGGGGGGTCAGTCATACTCCACCTCCAATGTCTCTCTGGGTGCAGTTTTGAGCCCAGTTTTTTGCTGCTCAGAATCTGCATTTCCCAGCAGAAGGGCGGTGCTTCACTAGAGCGAGGTGCTGCTCTCCCTCAGCAACAGCAGTGTCTCAGTGCATCTGCAGGTTGTGAGTCTGCCTTGATGTAGGACCAGTACAAGACTGAGATTCAGCTCTTTGTTCATGGCATCTCTACTGTTTAAGGTTGTGTGATCAAAAAGCCAAAGACCATTCAGTGTGGATTCTGGTGCAGTTTGCACTTTTTTATATGTATTTACACCATAAATGGGGTAAATTCTCAGGGGCAGTTTGCTGTCTTGTTACATTGGAAGCCCATCCTGCTTCCATTTCAGCTCCCTTGGCTGTAATGTTGCCCGTTTTCCCCTGCAGCACTGTTACACAGCACAGGTACAGGCAGGGTTGTGTAGAAAGCTCTGCTACATTTTACCTTCTGAGATGGAGCCATCTCTGTGTGTGCTGCTCTGCCTCCAGGCCCGTGCCTCAAACACAGGGGAGCTGGTGTCAGCCTTCCCAATCCTCTTCTTTTCCAGTTGGAGTCATCACTAGGAGCAACGCAGTGCTGGTGGGAAAGGTTATCTTCCACTCTGTAACTCATACACAGCTTTGCAAGCTAGTTATTCCCCAGGGGTTCTTATTGCAGTCCCTGGTGGCTTGCCTGTTTCTTCTTGAGAACTGCTATTCCTCTAAATGCTGTGTGGAGTTTCCCAGAGCTGCTCTTGCAGCATGAAGCAGTGGTGCCCTTGTTGATTTATTTCCCCACATGTTGTTGTACATGTAAGTATTTCCATAGAGCATTGGTGCATCCATCCCCCTCACTTAAGTGTCTGAGGGAAAAAGCATCTGTTCACCCTCAGCCTCCCTCACCTCAGACTCCCCATTAGTTGAGCCTTCTCCCTGTAAAATTCAAAAATGTGAGCACAGCTGTATTGCATGTGTATTTATCCTTGCTCTCTTTCCCTCGGATAAGATAAGGAAGCAAACTGCTCACATGATTCAGTGTGCTACTTGAAGCTGTTTGGAAATCCCCATGATGACTTACAGAACCAGTCTAGACTAGAAACCAATTCTCTGCTGCTTTTATAGATGGTTACTGAGCTTCCTTGGTTTTCCTCTCCCAACAAAGTCAGTTCTTTTGGGCTTTCCTCTCAGATTTGGTTAAAATTGGAAGCACAGAAAAGTCTTGAGCAGACTAGAAGTGTTGTGTCAATCTGGTAGTCCTTCCACTGAGATATGACAACCTCACTGTCTCTTAGGAGGGGAGATCATCAAAAGGAAAACCTTTACAGACCAAATCTCAGCTCCTGTCACAAGTGCTCTACAAAACCCATTCTAAGTAACTGAGAGTTGGTAATAGAGAAAGCGTGGTTCAGCAAATGGATGCCAAACTTGGAATCTGTTGGGTTTTTTTGCTTTAGTGAAATGGTTGATCAATCTGTGTCTCTATTTGTAAAGACAGATGCCAGTCATGCCTTGTATTTTTTGATATGTCAGTTAAAAACATCAGCAGAGTAGTGTTATTCCCCATTTAACCTTGTCAAAATGCAAGTACACCGATGTTTTGTTTTTTATGACCTTGGGTATGGATGCGGTTTTCTTTTGTTTTTCTTAATTAGTGATCTTTGGTCACCCAGTTTAGTCTGGCTCTTCCAGTCCTGTGGAGGGCTCCAGTGTGATTATTAAGCTCACCTACTGGGTTATTTTGGTTGCAGGTACTGTGTTGAATTCCAGCTTGTGGCCATCACACCGGGCTGTTTGCAGAGCCACCACTCGTACACTCACTGGATGCAGTATCTCAGGGAGGGCCACACCGTCTGCGTGGAGTGTCAGCACCCGGCTTTAGACTCCAGAAGTCTACATTGTTATGGGGATGGCAGTGGAAGCAAAAAGTAAGAGTTTTAACTTTTGTTTTCATGTTGAATTTTTCATTCTTCTCCCTTGATCTTCTTGTCCCAGTTTCATAATGCACTGCATGCAACTCTCTGGAGCACTCTACATCTATTAACTGGTCTTTGTTGCATACCGTGAGTTTCTTGCAGAGATGAAATGACCTGGTGAAGCTCACGTATTAAACCAGTGGCAGAGCCAGGACTGAAGTGTGGGAGTACCTGCATTTAGTCTGCTAAATCTCACTGACTTCTAAGTGGCACTGGTGTTAAGTTTTTTGTTTTAAAGACACTCCAGCCATGCTTCTAAGGTTAACAGTCCTGTCAGATGTCAAATGAAACAAAATCTGTTTCTGATTTCTAAGCATTGGGGATTTTATTTCTACAAGTGGCCCTTTAAGAGTATTTCTGGCAAGTGGCAGCTGGCTTAGGGACTTGAGGTATGCGCTGGCACCTGAGGCTGGATGGAAGTACTGTTAAATCTTTGCACTTTCAGCATTGTTCCCCTGGAAAGCTGAAGAAACTTTGGGGCAATTGATGGGGACCACCCAGGTTGTACAAATTGGGCACACTCCAGCAAAGATGAAGGGAATGGTTTGAAGCTGCGAAACACATTTGTGGCACAGCCAGCAACAGAGGAGTTCTGGCTTCCAAGCCTCTGCTGTGGTCACTGGAGGCACAGCTTCTGCATTGCTTTTATCCTGATGCTCTTAACCCCATTGCATCCTCTGAAGCTGGTTAGCAGCCCTGCCTGAGAAAATCATTCCCCATCAGTGCTGGGGAGGGGTATTTTTAAAACTAACCTAAGTGTTGAAATAAGTGCGTTTACTTGAATTAGAAACTCTAAACTTGGATTGTCAGGTCTCAAGCACACAATGTATTGCACTACCAAGACTGCTAATAATGGCCTTTTTAGACAGGGTTTTTCTCAGGCTTTTAGTAAGAGGAAGTCACGTTAGAGTCTTTTCCTTTCCTGTCTCAGCTTGTTTTGTACAAAGGTTCCAAAAGCTTTTAGATAAAGAAGAAAAAAATCTTAACTGATGTGGTCAGGAGTAGCTGTTAACTGCATTCAACATGTAAATCATTATAAAAGCTTACAATAATGTTATTTTGCTAAAACCTTGGAGCCAGACAGGAACATCAGATTAAGCAAAATTAAAAATATATTCAGAAATTCATTCCCTCATTGGGCTGCAAAAAGAGGGAAACATTTTTATTTGCCTGATCTGGTGAACATCACGGTACATGGAATGGAAGCAAAAAGAAAATGGGACTGTCACCCATGATGAATGATGATCTGATTGTCAGGTGTTGGCAGTCTGAAGGCCAGAGAGGGGTGGCAACAATGGAGTTGGGGTGAATGGTGAGTGGTTCATGGAAATCAGGACTCAGCCCGTATCTCAGCAGATGGTTTAATTCCATCTTAGTTGAGCAAAGCCTGGAAATTGTTCCCAGATTCTTGCTGGAGGTAAGGTGAACTAGCATGTAAGAGCCAAAGGGAGACCAACTTTTAACATGTGAGCTTTTACCCCTCCAGCATTACTGCCTATAATGTCCAATGAAGTAGTGTCTGTGGCATTTTCTAGGCAGGTATGAGCTCTCATGTGTGTGTCAAGCTGAGATACTGCATGTGTTCACTCGGGTTCATTGCCAGGGTAGTAATATAGGCTTGGAGGACAGGTAGGGCTGGCCTGGGCTGAGCTGAGCTGAGTAGTGGACAAAGCTCCTGTCTACAAAAGGCAGTGGAGGTGCGCTGGAAGCCACCTCGAACCAGCAGTGCTGGGCAGCTTTGTCAGAGATAAATGTGTGACTGGCAAATGGAACATGAATGATGTCTCTGGTCTGCAGCTTCCTCATCCTGTGTGTGTGTGAAGCCTCCCTTAGATTTCACATACATCTTTTAGATGACTCCCACACATCCCCTAGATAGGTAGCCTCCAGGGCCCAGTCTGGTGTTCTTTATCATTATTTGACCTTACAGTGGTGGATCAAGGAGATTGCTGTCCACAGCTGGGTATCTTGCTTGATTTTCTTGATACCAACATCTCAAGTGCAAGTATTTACTGTAGGTATTCTTTATATGAACAGAGCTGTCCCCTAATTATACTTTTTTTACCAGGTTGCACAGAGGGAAAATCTGACCTCTGTGATCTCTGAGAAGAAGGTGGACTGTTGGTGGGGTCAGCATTGAGTGGGATGAGGGAAATATTTGTGAAAAGGCTTCTGCCTTCTGTTAGAGTAAGCGGCTGTATCTGAGCCTGTGGTCCTGCAGGGGAGCAGTACTGTGAGGGGCTCCCATGGTGGGCTCCTCAGGTTGGGGTTTGCTGGCCAGATGTCAAGGGCACAAGCGGGATGTTTGTAAAGAAAGGACGAAGAAGATGGGAAAGCAGCTACTGCCCTGAGAGAGAGGATGGTGGGAGGCCAAAGCTGATGCCAAAGCTGAGGATACAGCATGTGTTGAGTTTGCCGAGATCTGCTCACAAGTCTCTGGCTGTATACTCAGTTCACCCTCCTTTTGAAATTTTGGCTGGTGTAACACTGCCAGGGGAAGTGGACAGGTTGTGGTAGCCTCAGAGCGGTGGCTATGCTGGCTGACATGTGCCATCACACGCTGGCCAGGTCTCTGGGGCCGCTGGCTGGGGCTTTGCAGGGAAGCATGCACAGCTGCTGCTCTCCCACCCACGCCGTGCCTGCGCTTTGCTTCTCGCCCTGACAGCTCGGCAGCTTGTGCCAGTGTTTAGTTCCCCGAGATATTGTTCCAAGAGTGACTCTCAGGAAGCAAAACATCTGACAGAGTTTAAAATAAACTCAGCAATGCTGGTATATTTTGATGAGTATTTCCTAATTATCTTCTTGTGTCTAAGTGGAGTCTGGCTTATAAATGCTTCAAGTTAAAGAGAGATGCTCGTTATCTGTGCCTTCCACCTGTCTCCCACTCTGTAGAAGATGCTAGTTCATTTTAACCCCTGTTATACAAGCTCAGAAGGTTTCCTAAAGTCCTTGATTTATGGCCAGATCTGTGGCCATCAGGTGAGGATAGCTAGGGTAATTTATCTTGCCTTGGCTTCTTTCTTCTAGAAGGTTATGAGATAAACAAGGCAGAACATTGAGCCGGGAAATTGATCTGTTAATTTTGGATCGTCTTCTGAAAGATCTACAAACAAAGTACAGACTTGACATCTGTTCAATTGTTACTCAGCCTGTGTCTAGGATGATCAGCTGCTCTTCATCATCTGGAGCAAGATATGGTGGTTGTAGCACAATAATGTCCAAACCGCAGCAGTTTATGCCCATGCAATAGCATGGGGCAGAGGGACAGAAAGGATGGATGGACTTGATTTATAGCAAAGTCACTATTTGCCTTCCTCACCAGCAAGATGACAGTAAGCAAGTCTAGCTTATGTGTTTAAGGAGTAAAGCCTTTTAAAGGTAAAGCTGCAGCCCAGAGTTTTGAAGGGTATGGGACTGCTCTGTGCACAGTGTGCTTTATCTGGGATCTTAATCCTCCCTGTGCAGATCCTGGTATTTTGAAATGACCCCAAGCCAAAAGAAAAATACAGTGAGCCTTTTCCAACCATGTGTGATGCGTAAAACCCTGCTCTGGAGCATGACATCTCATTAAACCAAGGGCAGGGTTAACTTTGTGGAGCTAGAGTAATAATTCCAGTTTCCACAGAGCTATAAAACAATCAGAAGTTAGGGGTCTGTGAGGCTACTCTGCGGGCAGCTCTTTGCACAGGGCAGGAGTTGATGCAGTTGTGGTATTTCTGCTTCTCCAAAGGTCAGGGCTGGGACAGACTGATGTGAGGAATTCCCTTAAACCGCTAAATGCTAAAATCTGGAAAGGGGCACAGTGCTATAGCAGGATTTCAGTTTCTGTGGCTGTGCTTGTGCAGCCACTGATTGTGAAAAATGGCCTGTGGATCTGCTTGGTTGTTTTCATAGGATACTTCTCTGTTCAGTTTTGGTCAATGTATTGATGGACTGCCTGGGAGAAAAGGGGTGCCTGCGTTGTTAGGTTGGTTTTTTGTCCTTTACTTAAGAGGCCTGTGAGTAACCTTGTTCTAACACTTGTGGGTCTGATACCTCCTGCCATCCAGAAGCCATGTCAGTGTGTAGCTGCTAGCGAGGCAGAATAGCTTAGGCAAGTGTTTCACTAACGTGGTTACCTGGAGGTGCTCGTGTCCCCGCACCTCTCACACAGAGTGTGCAGTGTACTGTGTGCGAGGTACTTATTCAGCATCTCCATGGCTATGGGTGACAATAGAACTCTGCCTGCTGAGAGGGAGCATGGTGTTATAAAGAAAAATGGAGAAAGAGGTGTTTTGCCCACTTTGCAACCTGTCAAGTGTTTCAGTACAGGAGTTATGAGGATGTCAGCGTACTTTATGAGTTGTTGCATGCAACGCTGGGTATCTTGAGGGAACATTTCTGTGAATCCTTTTTGGACTTAACATTTACAGTATGTGCTGCTCTGGGTTCTTCCAGTCCAGTATTCCTGCCTGATTGTGGCTTTACTTCATGCTGTTGCTGTTTCTTTACAGTGGTAAAAAGGCAGAATTGGGTCCATGGAGTGAAAATTGACGTTGGCAAACTAAATGGAATATACTGGGTGATTTAAGCCTGGTACAAGTGACTGCCCAGCAGCAGAGGTGCAGCACATTAACTTTTTCTCTCTTATGACTGTGTTTCAGGAATCAGCTGTTGCACTGGCAGGCGGTAGGGAACCCTCGATGCAAGGGAACCTGGAAGAGAATTCGCCAGCTGGACACTTGCTCCTGTCCTTCTGTTCACAGCTTCTTGTTCATCTAACTTCTCCTGACAGTCGCAGCAAGTGAGTGCTGTGATGGCACCGACGTGCGGCAGCAGTGGGAACCACAACCAAAACGATGACTTCTCCATGTCAGAGGCTATACTTTCAAGAGGTTGCTGTCTGTACTGGGGTATCCGGAATCCTCTCTGTCTGTGTGTGCTCCTCAATTTCCAAAGAAATCAGGCTGGCTGTGAAGTGCCAATCTCTTTCTGCCCATCTATCCCTGAGAGAGGCCTGTCTGACCCTGATGACTTCTTGCAAATTCCTCCTTTTTGAGAGGAACGAGAATTCACCTGATAAGAAATTAGACAAACAAGACCATGTGAACTCAGATTTAATTATTATATTACCAAAGTCTCGATGGAGAATCAACAATGCAAAATAAATTAACTCAAGTGCTGTCCTTTGGTGACAATGGCACTTCTCTGTGGATGCTGCCTGCTCATGCTTATACATCTCTTCCTTTTGTTTTCACCTTCCCTGGTCTTGTCATTTCATATTGATCTTCAGTCTTACAGAGGGTTCATCTTCTGCTGCTGAGATAATGGCAAAACTTAGAAATTAGTCTGTTCAAATCTGTGAGAATAGAAGGTACCAGGGATCAGAGGGCCCTTGGACTTCAAGTTTCAAGGAGCATCTCTGAGTTGCCCAAAAATGCAGTGCAATCCTGGGGCTCTGAATAGGAAGTCATCCCAGCTGTACCAGGAGGGCTAGCTATAGCCTTGTCTTTTTGACTGGAAAATATTTGAAATATTTTTTTATATTCTGCTGATTTCTATTCATACTTTTCTAGAAATGAAAATAAAGGAGACTGGAGACATTCTCCCAGTGTATGTCTATTGATTAATCTGTGTAGTGCCATCTCTTTAGTGCCTGAACCTGATTAATTTATTTCAGCCAATCATGCTGCTGACTGATCTGCTCCAGCAGGTAAGACTGGAGGAAAAGTCCAGTTCTACTCAGGTTGTACTGGTGGAAGTCCAGCACCATGAACTACCACTATGCAGAAATGGATGGGATATTTCTTTTAATAAACACGTACTTCTGAATCTGCTTAAACAAAATTACAGAAAAAACTTGTGCTTTGTGACAGAGCGCTGCAGTGATGAGCGTCTCGGTAATTAAATTTGTCAAAACCCAGGTGAGTGGTTGGGGATGGCTGCAGAAGAGAGTTTTAATGCTCGAGTCTGATTCTAGTCTAGGTTTGGATCATGAAACCCACTAGTGACCATGTTGAGAGTCTTTCATGGACATACTAAAGGACACTGAGGATATGTACTTGAGATGCTTAGAGAAATACGTGTAGTATGGTGCTGAGAGGCCTGAAAGTGCATGATGCCTCTTGGCCAGTACAGTAGGAATGTGAGAGCAAGGCTCTGCTTTTTATTGTATGTTACAAGCTGTCTCTGTGGATTAATGACTCACAGTGGGGTGATCTCATCCCAGAGTAGCAAGATTTTTTTTAAAAGAAAAGGCTTGTGCTTCACAGTTTGACAAAATCTGGAACTAACTTGTGGCCTGCTCAGGAGTCCTTGCTGGTTTGTGAGCAAAGGGATGCGATCCTCGGAGGGGTGGCTTGGAAATAAGTGACTGGAGGACATCAGTTGGGCTTTTGCAGTGAGGAATTTCTATAGACCTGGAAACCAGTTTCATTTTTTGGTGGAGATAAGTAATCATGGTAGCATTTAGTCATTGGAAGGTTTTCTTTGTCCTACAGAAGCCCCATATTGGGCCACAGGATGGTAAAGAGGCAGATGGTCATTTCAGGAGCAGAAAGGAACCAGCTAGTGGAAACATTTTTCACTTTCAAAAAATCTACCCAAATTTTTGACAACATGAATCCCTGCTCTTACCAGATGCTTACAGAATTAAGTACTGAAGCTATAAAACATGCAATTTTTGCTTATTAATGCTCAAAAAACTTAAGTCTTCCAAATGTTGCGTTCACCCCAGTGCCCCTCTTCTACTACATCAGAGCCAGTTGGGTAGGAAAAAACTGTATTGCAACGTTATAAATGATAGTGTCAAGTGGGAAAAGCTTTTATTCTAATCGATGAAACAATGTGGCACCTTAAAGCACCTTAATTGCAATCCCTTTAATTTACTGAGTACTTAAGCATTAGTTGTACTATATTTGTGTGTAAGACTTCTGTTAAATTGTCATAGTACTTGCTGTCAAATATTTAGTCCTGGCGTTAATCTATTTTGTTGTGAACCTTTCAGGAAATGGTGATTGGCACCTGCCATGAGTAAATGGTGTGAAACGCCCTCCCTGACCCCAGCCCTTGTTGAATGTAGAAGATAGCCCTCCTGCTTCAGTGTCTTGAGAAAAAGTGAGCCTTAAGAGGGGTTATTTTGCTAATACTTCATCATATTCTGGCACAAACTGTAGGAAATTCTATCCAGTTTCAATATAATTTTGATCTTTAAAAGTCTGCAGAACCAGTCTCTTAAGTGAGTGAAGGTAGCTGTGGAGAGTTGAAAAGTTTGAAGATAGGCTGCTCAGAAATAAAATTCTGGGTCAGATTGCTACAGAATCTGAGCTTGTTTGTTTTTTTATTCTTTTTGGAGGCTGACAGTAAATTTGCTAAAATGCATTTTAGGTTGACTGTAACCACTTGTGAATTCATGCCACAGTTGATGATTAGTCCTCATAGACAGAGACAGAGGAAAGATAGGGATTTAGAAGTGGTGAAGTGTTTTTATACCTCCTAGGTGAAGTGTTTTGATCTTTGATTTGGGAATTTTACTGCAAGATTGGAATAATTTGAGTCTAAATATTTCATTCAGCCCCCTCGTTGCTTTCAAGTTTCTTCTTTGAGGAAGATATTGGAGAAAAAACCTCTAATTTTTGAATTGACCAAAATGATGTATTTATTGATAGTGTTCTGTTCTGGCTCCTGCTTGTGAGACAGCTGTGATGCAAAATCAGTAAACACAAAATAGTCTGTTCCTGTGGCCAATGACTTGTTGGTCAGGGCTTTCTCTGCTGCTGCCTCATCCTTGAGAACTTATAACATGAGGTCCTAAGAAGAGCTGCTGATGGTGGCACGGTGGAACTTCCAGTCTTTTGCTCCTGTCACCACAGTCTGAGGTTGCAGGAGCATGAAAGAATTAGCCCATTAGGAGCCCTCGTAGCAGCTCTATTTCTACACAGACTATGTCACTTGATGAAACAAGACACTGCAAATGTCTCGGTGTATCTGCACATCCTGCAAAGGGCTGCACCTTGGGTAACTGTGCAAAAAAATCCTGCTGGTAAGGAAAGGAAGGACAGATGCAAGTGTGCATGAAAGAGAGAGAGCAAGAGTCAGCCTCTTAAGTAGAAGATAATGAAGCTGTCGGATCACTTTCCCTAAAAATGAAGATTATCTCATGGTGTAGACACATGCTGGGTCCTGCCTGTTTTTCTCTAGGGGCTTTATCATCATCCATCGTAGTAATCTCCATAATGTCTACAGCCTGTTTTTTTGGGAAAGATAAGACTATTGGAAATCCAAGGCAAAATACTGAAAAATGACTTTGTACTGTAAACAAGCAAGGCAGCTTCACATTGAGGAGAGGCTGTTCACCGAAGATGACAGCTGTTCCCATGGCAACGCTAAAAACCTTTCACCATTGGGTATCAACAGGAGAACATCTCCCACGGCAAGTACACGAAGCCAGGAGTTTAGTCCTCATCTTCCATAAATCTTCCTGTTGGGCACTGATAATGAGGAACCGGCAGTTGCGCACATGCAGCTCCACCTTCTCGGCACCAGCCTGGCTGCAGATGAGAGGGAGAGCAAATAAAGCTAAAGCACCAGTGAGTTGGACTTATGTTAAAGGAAAATTAAGCTTGACTGATGTTCCTACATTTCTGTCTGCTCTCCAACTGAGGATCACAATTTTTAATGATGAAAAGCCAAGCGAAAATCCAGGCCGTTTTGCAAACTGCTGAAGAAGCCCTGTGATTTCCTCTGTTGTAGAGAAATCTTTCATTGTCATGGGATAGAGAGAGAGGGAGGCCCTGGGAGAATTCTGCTTTTTTTTCACCCTAACCCTGTAGTATCCAGCCTGTGATTCATAAGTTTTCTTCTGCATTTGAAATAGAAGATGGTAAAAGACCATTTTTCACCATCAGATCTTCATTAGGCTTATCAGCTCCTTGACTCTCATGATATGTTGGTCTGAGCTTCTGCAGTTGTCTGAATGTATGACTTTTTTAAGGAAAAAGCATTTGGGAAAAAAAAGACCTAAAATGTGCCCAGAAAGCTCAGGAGCCAAAGGTAAAGAAAAAGAATGATAAAAAATTGTAATTTTCTTAAATACCCTTGTTGCTCTAAAGACAAACTTCTTTTTTCTTTTGCTCAGTGGCCAGAGGAGTTGAGCACATTCGGCTAGAGTGGTAGGAGTTAGCAGTACTTCTCCATAAATAAGACAATTCTGGTTTTTTTATCCTTAATTTTGGGTGTTTTGGATATTTAAATATTAGGTCACTGACTTTTTTTTTTTCTTTCTTTCTTTTTTTCTTTTACTGAAGTTTTTTCTGAAATCCTTTCCAGTTATAAAATTAGTTGCTTGGTGATAGTTGTGGTACTGCAAGTGGAGGAGTAGAGGTGAGAAAGGAGAGTCTGAACCAGCAGAGATTATTCTGTTCTCTAAATATGTCTCTTGCAGCTTAAAACCACAACCCAAAGTATTAGCAAGGGACTTCTTTTTAATTTTTTAAACACTGGTTCTCCCATTGTTAAGCTGGTGAAGTACATTCACTTATAAAGGCTGTTCTATGTATTCTGCAAATCGGCACCTTTTTAAATCCCCGGGGATGTGCAGGGTCTCCAGGCTGCTGGTCTGTAGTACCCCAGTTGCTCTCATCCCGTGACACAGGTACAGAACTCGCTGTGACACTAGTGGAACTTAGACACACATTCAGACAGGATATGCTTGGCTGCATCTTTTAAACATCTTCAATTGATATTGGAAAGGAAGAAAGGTGGAACCATGGTGCAGTTAATATTACAATATTACCCTTTTTCATGAGTTCAGGCACAGTGTGTGACTTCACTCTGCTCCAAAACCAGTTCTCACCCCTGTCCATGCTGGAAATGAGATGCAAGGTTTCTTTTTATCACATTCCCTAATCCTCAGGGCCGAAGAGCTCAGCATCGCTCTGGTCCTGTGCATTGTTTTTTTGCTGTTACTTGCTGTGCTCAGTGCTTGTTTTGCTTCAGCTTTGTTGTGGCCTTTCCATACTACTAATTGTGTGCTTTTGAATTACTGGAAGGGTGTTGCAGGGTGATGCCAGCACTAATGGGTTTTCACCTTCCTCCACTTTCATAACAATCCTCATACCAATTAACCAATTCTTGATTTATTCTTTGCATCGTATTTCAGCCATTAACAGATGGAGCAGAGTCCATCTGAAGAATGGGAGCTGCTCAGCCCATTCTGCTGGCGGTGAAAGCTGATGCTGCCTTGACTTTGCCTAATCCTGTGCCTTTCTGCTCACCCACAAATGAATGCTCGGGTCTGCTTTTTGAGAGCACAAAGTGCAGCTGGACATCTTCCCCCTCCAAGTATGAGTGTGTCTGTAGCTGCGATGGGCTCCCCTGAAGCAGCACCATCACCCAATCTCCCATCACCATCCTGGCTGCTGGGAGAAATGGTGAGATGCAGGAGTGCACCTCCAGGAAAAGGCTGTGGATTGTGGTAGAAGGATGGTAGCTGGAGAAGCTGGATTTCTCCGACGTGACAATAGGACGCTGTTACTTCTTGTCTCTGTTTTAATTCTGTCTAGCAGCTGGATGCAGTATGGAAGCAGATCCCTGAAATGCATTGGCA